ATGCTGTAAATAATTGCATCCGGCTGATTTTAACGACACCCTGAACATAGGTGATGTGTTGCCGTGGTGATTCTGGTGAAAAAGTCATGCACTGTATTGCATGGACCACGTGCTGAGGATTGAACTGACGTCAGAATCAGAAATAAACCGCAGTGGTTCCTGCAGCTGTGGGTTGGATCGGTGGGGGGTGTTGGGGTTTGCTGTTGAACCACCAGCAGGTGGAGCCAGAGTGAGAACTGAAGCAGAGATCCAACTGAACAACAAAGTAACAGAAACTCGACTGCAGAGTTTAACAAACGCTCTTCCTCGTTCCAGGACCCAGAGAAGGAGGTTTCTGATTGGCTGTCTGACCTGACCCTCACTGACCAGCACCCCGATCTGGAGGTACGCACCGTGTTTCTGTCTACACGAGGGCGCCGAGCTTTGAGAGCCTGATGGGAGTTTGCTGCATATTTTATTAGCTCATTTCTCAGTTTTCATACTTAAATTCAATTTCAGCTTCTTCAGGGCTGAAACGCAAATGAGGGTTTTATTATTCTGCAGCTCGTCTTCCTCTGGGCTCTGATTTGTTTTTGATAAGCTTCCTAATGAAAGAAGCTTTTCTTACTTTTTGTCTGTGACTCCGGAAAAACAAACTATTAAAAAGGCAAAAAGCAAATCCAGCTGAACAGAGACTTTAGTTTAGCTGGAACAGGAGGAAGGATCAACGAGTTCTGGTTGACCTCAGGCTCTCATAGCCTCTAAGCTCACTTACAGGTTACCTCTGTGACACGTTTTTAACTGTGAGTCAGGAGCAGAGCTTTTTATTGCTGTTGAAGAAACAAACTAACCGATGGAGGCAGCAGTAAACCGGCAGGTCCAGCTGCTCCTGCTGATCCAGAGTCAGGTCACGGTGGCTGCAGATAAGCCGTCCTTTCCCATGGCGATGGTTTCCAGCTCCCAGGCCAGATGAGATATGAAACTGTGTCCTCGGCCTCCTTCAAGCAGAGGCAGAGGATACTGATCTGATTGCTGAACCAGCTCTGCCTCACTCCTCACCTCATCTCCAAGCCCAGACGCTCGTGTGACTGTGGAAAATAACATCACCGCCTCTGTCAGCGCAGTCTGGCGGCTTCAGCTTAACCAGCAGAAACACGTCTAACAGATGGCCCCGCCCCTCCCTGAGCCTGGTTCTGCCGGAGGTTTCTTCCTGTTCAAAGGGAGTTTTTCCTTCCCACTGTCACCAAAGTGCTTGCTCATAGGGGGTCATATGATTGTTGGGGTTTCTCTGTCTGTGTTATTGTAGGTCTACTGTACAATATAAAGCACACTGAGGCCGCTGTAGCTGTGATTTGGTGTTATATAAATCAAACTGAATTGAATTCGCATCACCGACGTCCGTAGCAGAGCATTTGGTGCTCATCAGTGACGCACGCCAGCTCGTGGCGCTGTGAGGCGGTCTGATTACCAGCAGGTTAAAGAGACGGCGGCGAGTGCGTTTACTTCCTGATGACATGGGCTTTTGGCGTTTCAGATGCTCGTGTGGTCGGGTTTTTTTTGTTTGGTCATGTGACTGAGTACGTGAGTTCTGATTTCTATTAATTGATTTACTTCAGAGCTTCAGCTTCAAATGTTAACTATGATCCAGGAAGGAGCATGATTGTGTCCCCGTGTGTCCCTCAGGGCCTCCCTGACCCGCAGACCGTATCCTCCAGCATCCAGCAGATGTGGGCTCTGACTGAGGTGATGCAGACCAATCAGACAACAGCATCCATCGGACGGTTCGATGTGAGTGAAACACACAGTCAGCCTCATCTGTCCTGTAACGAGTGTGTTCATGATGGAGGTGATGTAATAACATTTGGCCGTTAGCTCGTTTTTCATGTTCTCAGAGATGATGAACATTTTAGTTTATCAAATGATCTGAAATGACATTTTTGTGAAGGCACGTGTGCTGTGAGCATGTGTGCGCGTGAGCGTGTGTGTGTAATCACGTGTGTGTCATTAGAAATGAGAGCAGAGTGATGATGGTGGTTCTCTGTGCTGCAGGTGGATGGATGCTACGATATCAGCCTCCTTTCCCTGACATAAAGAAGTTGGTGTGTGTGTGTGTGTGTGTGTGTGTGTGTGTGTGTGTGTGTGTGTGTGTGTGTGTGTGTGTGTGCTGTAACAGCATGAAGAGAAAGTGCTGACAAAGACAGGACGTCTCATCTCTGCTCGTCACGCTGAGGTCATTTCCTGTCCTGATGCGATGCTGTCACAGAGTTTCAGTCTTCGCTGTAATGTGTATTTATTAAACTGAGAAGACCTGCGCGTCCTTCAAGTATCTGTATTAAAGACTCATTCACTAATAAAAAAATAAAGTAACACATCGTCTCCTGTGTTTGCGTGTGATTTCATCTTCAACCTCAACTCTTCTTTACATTTAAAACGCTCCACACTGTGCTGGACTCACACTCACAGTGATGATGTCAGCTGAAGAACATTTTTGGTTCCTTCTGTAGTTCTGTAACGTGTTGATGGTTCCACTGACCTGTTGAAATGAGAATGACAATAGAAATGAGTCACTGCAGATAAAAACAGAGGTCTTTCATTTTTATGTTCACACGAATAAACGCAGGTAGAAAATGTTGAAGTCAGCCCAGTAGGTTTGTTTGGCCTTCGTTTCATTCTGAGCTCACATGACTGTTTCCTGTTCGACCTTAAATTTCATTTGTTTGAGTGTTTGGAGCCTGACAGTGATAAGACTCAAAGCACAGGAAACAGAAGCTGATTGGCTCACAGAAGGCAGGCAGGAAGATGATTGGACCAGAGCGATGATGAGAAAACTGAGCATGACAGCGTGGGAACGCTGTGACGAGCTGCGTGAATGGCCAGGAGACGGCAAAGGACTGCACTCTGTGTGTAACTGCCCACTGTGGACACTTGGTGGCAGCAGAGCGTCATTTCTGAGCTCCTTAACCCCCCAGGACCTCCCGTCCACATATGTGGACGTCACATTTTGGGTTATTTAGACCAAAATACTAAATTTTGCGCTACAAGGGCCTGAATCCACTTATGAGGACAATATAATGCCACAAAAATCAGCGTTAAACCTGCTGCTTACTGAAGTCCCCGTGAGGACGATTTTACTCAGCGAGCTGAGGAGGACTGCAGACTGCCAGCATCGACTCAGTGAGGAAGGCGCTGACAGTATAAACGTCAGGAAACATTAAAGTTTTCAGCTTCTCGTCATGATGTGATCGAGTCGGCTCGTTTCTTGCTGCTGGGCAATGAGCAGCTTTGCATGATTCACAGTTCAAAATAATCCTTCTTCATCTGATCCTCTGCAACCGCTCATTATCATCTGAAACAAAGTGTTTTAGCTCCGCCCCCTTAAAGCCAATTTTCTAATTGAAGGTCAGATGAACAGCAGGTGGGTGGAGCTTCTGTGCCCGAGGGGCCCAGTTTGTGACATCCCCTCTCTGTGACATCATCCAGAGCCAAGCACAGAAAAGTCGGTCAGGGATGTCAGGAGAAAAATGACTTTGGGGCAAAAGAAAGTTTTGGATTTTTTCCCTGACTGGTGAGACCTGGAAGGACTTTTCAGAAGTCATAAATCACACTCTGGAGGTTTTATTAGCGATACTGAATCAGCCCTGCGAGTTCACGCTTTCAGAAACGTCTGCATGTTTTTCACATCTTGTTGCCTCAAATCAATAAAAACATATATTGCAGTGTTAGCTGTGCATGACTGAGGCCTTACAAAACAATATTAGTTTGGAGGTTTGTGGAGGAACATCACAGACTGTGTTTAGCAGCAGCTGCTGGCTGGAGTCCCTGCGGTGCTTTATACAATAAGGCAGCCTTATTTTAGCAGAACAACAGTGGCTCGGGGGGATTGTCCAACAGTGCAGACTGGAACCAAGACAATGAGCGCTGGGATTTTTTCTTCTTCTTGTTTTAATTTGCTGCAGCAGCCTGCTCTTTGTCATAGTTGGGTTTTGTTTTTCACTGAGGGGGATTTTGAAAACTACAACAGACACAAAGCAGGAAGAAGAAGAAGAAGAACGCAGCAGAGGACCTGAGGTCTCCACGGCTGGATTCAGAGGAGTGGAGAAAGGCCCGCTGTCTGCCTTCAGTGTGACGGAGGCCTGAGGCAGTCGACGGATGTGGTTTGAACGTTGGGAACAAATGAGTGAGGTGTTAGAGGAGGCTCCTGGGTGTCTTTGCAGAGACAGTAAATCCCCCCAAATAATCCTCCCTGCTGTCTCTGATGGGCTGAAATTCACAAAATGAACTTTATGCTTTTTTCAGTCAGACTCAAAATACAGCCTGAGACCAAAAACTCACCAGGAAAGAGTTTTACTGAGCAGGAGGCTCGTTCTCTCCTCACAGGCTTCTGCACAGTCACACCCAGAGGAGTCGCCCCCTGCTGGACGCAAGAAAGAACGCAGGTTTTTGACACACCATCATTGGCTCTACTTTTCAGACCCGATAAGTTTAACGATAAAGAAATTATAATTAATACTAATATCATGCTTGAAACCAAACACTGACAGAGAGAGACGAAGTGAAAGGCTGTGAGCGAATGCTGAGGAGGAGGAAGATGAAGAATGTAGAAACACCAGAGTGACCGAGCCACAGGGGGAGGGCAGATCTTCAGACACAGTAGAAGGTGTTTTTAATACTATATGTGTTAGTCTAATTTGGCTGTGTGGGGTCTACATGGACCTTCTGTGTTGTAAGTTACAATGACTGCACAGCCATTAAGGATCAAACTGGCTTCAGTTTTTTCTTCCTCTGCTTGCTTCTGTCTTTGAGGCTCGGGACAGAAAGACATCAGTAAGTATTTTGGTTTTCCAATATATTAGCAACTGTCAGTGACATTTATATTAATCAGGCTGGACTTTAATCATACTTTAGATCAGCCTGTTTTACTTATTGTTTTATTTGTGCTTTGGTTTGGGGAAGTTGTTTCTTCACTGATCTTTTCCTGTCTTCTGTTATTAGACTTGAGATATGACTGCACGATGCTGTGACTCCAGTTAATTCTACAAGACATGCTGTGGAAGTAAACAAACAAATGGCCTGTATTTGTAGAGCGCTTTACTAGTCCCTAAGGACCCCAAAGCACTTTACACATCCAGTCATCCACCCATTCACACACTGGTGATGGCAGCTACATTGTAGCCACACCCACCCTGGGGCGCACTGACAGAGGCGAGGCTGCCGGACACTGGCGCCACCGGGACCTCTGACCATCACCAGTAGGCAACGGGTGAAGTGTCTCGCCCGAGGACACAACGGCCGAGACTGTCCGAGCCGGGGCTCGAACCGGCAACCTTCTGATTACAAGACGAACTCCCAACTCTTGAGCCACGATCGCCCAACAACAGTTTGTCTGCATCTCTTAAAAGATCACATCCCCCAAACTTCGTTTGGAGGGTCTACACTGTATATAGTGAATAAAATAAAATAATCCTTTAATTGTCCCACAAGGGGAATTTTGGGTTTAACAGCAGCAAGAAAGACACATATACAAACAAACAGGACACAAGACACAGAACAGAAACATACACAGGACAAAGTCTGCAAGTTTTCTAACAGCAAAATTTGTTTTGTGCCCAAATCATTTTGCACATCATTAGAATGAAAGTTATTGGCCATGTTTGCATAGCCCTTTTTAAAATGATGCTTTCATGACATTATTGTGTGTTGGGTGGGGGTCAGGGCTATCCAGACTGAGAGTGGGGCATTGAATTTCACCTCTCCGGTGGGGAGGGAGCCTGAGGTTGTGTAAATTGGAGTCTGTTCTATACCAAATGCAGAAAAAAAATGTTAAGTTCATGTTCCAAAAAATATGATTGTTTGCTTGCAGGACACCAGGAGAGATGAGTCCTCCGTCACAGATGGTGTGGTCAGTGAAGATGGTCGCCTGCAGGTTCAAGCTCATTGCATCTCCAACCCACATCCACTGCCACTGTACTGAAGGGAAGTTAAAGACTTTCTTCTGCACCTACATGTGGATCACCTCGATCCATGACAGTCATTCAGCAGTAATGCCTGGACTGGAAACAAGCATCCTTAAAACATTACAACATTCCAGCTCCTGTGTTGGAATGAAAAACAAATGTGTTGTTTAAATCAGAGACTGCACTTGTGACAGAACAACAAATATTTTATTTGATTATGTAAGTAATGTAAGCACAAAACAAACTTATTTTCAGAATAATTACATCTGATTATGATCATTGTAAGATTATAACAGTGAAGGCAATATAACTGTTTGTTGTTCAGCAGAACAGTGTCCAGTATGTTGGCTGTTGTACTTTGTTGTGTTTGAAAATAAAAGTTGGGCTGATTTTAACATCATTACATAAAGTGTTGTTTATTATTTTCAATCATATTCAGGTTACCACAAATAGTTTTTTCATTTAGTTGAAGTTGAAATGTTTGTCAGTAGGTAAACAATTAGTGTTGTACAGTCAGAAATATCAAGTTATTCTTCATACTGCAGACTTGTGTAAGTTGTCCTAACAGTCGTCTTAAGTTTGCTTTACTTAGTTTGTTTGAGTTCTGTGAACTAATTAGATTTTACAGCGTATGAAATGATGGAGAACAGGCAGAAAATAACTGTTTTTATGTTTGTTTCACTTTTTGTCTTTTGCATCTGATGTCATCATAAAACATGAGGACACATGAGGTAACTGTTTGTCCTCCTTTCACCACTGGATACAAAACTGAAGCTGTTCTGTAAACCAGAGCAGACGGAGCCAAAGATGATGTAAGAATGTGTAAGTAAAGCAGACGTGTGCGTGTGTGCGCGTGCACGTGCATGCGTGTGTGTGTGGAATAAGTGGTGAGTCCTATCAGAGGAAAAGTGCACTTGATTAAAGGCGCACACGTCGTATCTTCTGGGAGGAAAGGGGGCAGTTCTGCGCCCCGCTGAGCTCCTGCTGAGTTTTATTTATTGCAGTTCAACATTTGGATCATAAAAGCTTGAGGCACAAACACACACAAACCTCACACTGTGTGCACACCTCTGAACGAGGACAACAACAAACCAGGAAACAGTCGGGTAAGGATCAGAGCGAGCGGTGAAGTTTAGCCAATAATATTTATAATAATACCAAACGAAGTCAAAGTGCTCCACAGAAAGAAAAGGCAGCATTGATACGAGTCAAACTAACACTGCTGCCCATCAAAAAGGTTCAAAGACTTTTAGAAGACAGTAAAGATGCTGCTCTGAGCTCAGAGGCAGTAAAATCATTGTAACGTATGTTTGCACTGATTGCCGATCACGCTTCAACTGAGTCGTCCTCGGTCAGAAGGAATGGTACTCCACAGTGATGTAGTTCAAATAACTTTAATAAGGAGGTGGCAGATGACATCAACAGGATGTACAGCGTTGGTAGGGAGGCATTACAGTATTCACATGCAGGTAAAGGGGGTGTGAGTGTGTATATGGGTGTGTGTGGTCATCTCTCATCTGTGCAGAACTGCGCTGAACACGTTCCCAACCGGAAGTACAGATACCGAGGTGCATCATGGGTAACGTAGTATAAACAGTTACAATGAACAAGCGGACTTTTAACAATCATGATGTCAGGAAAACTGAAAAACACGAGAGCTGCTGTTTGACATCAGACAGACTCTGGTGTGAAACTGAAACACAGCTCAGGAGGAAAACGCAGCTGCAGCGCTGAAGCCTGATCTTACAACAGCAAACATCGTTTTCCATCATCATTTATGTCACAGCGGTGCTGCCAAACGAGCCTGCTGCTCACAGAGTTTTATTGGTTAGTGTGGGTGGAGCCTGTAGGTGTACCTCTGCCTGCTGACTAGATGCTTCAGCTCTGAAAGTCTGTGAGAAGTTCAGAGTGAGATGGTGTAACGCATGTTCGCGCGTTCTCCTTCGTGATAAAGTTCGGTGGAAGCTCCTCGGCGTCGCGACTTTATTCCCGTCAGCAGGTTTGTTTCTGTTTGAGGACAAACCAGGACAAACACTGCCAGCATCTCACTGCTGGTCCTCAGAAGTCCTCTTTTCCACAGATGCTGGGCATGAAAGTTTACTGCAGCACCTGGAGAACATGAATCATTTTATTGGAGCTGAAAGAAAATTGGACTCTTTTTTAGCTCAGTCTGACTCAAAGCGAGCGTCGGACCTAACAGCAGACTGGAGTCTCAGTGGTGCTTTAAATGGTTCAAACAAACGTATTTAATTATTTGCATTTAAATGGCCTGTATTTATATAGCGCTTTACTCGTCCCAAAGGACCTCAAAGCGCTTTACACATCCAGTCATCCACCCATCCACACACACATCCACACACTGGTGATGGCAGCTACGTTGTAGTCACAGCCGCCCTGGGGCGCACTGACAGAGGCGGAACTGTGCATGCCATTTTAATTGCACCCCCGTGTGTCCCTCACGTAGGATATTTTGCTGCCTCTGAGACATGAAATGTCACACCGGTCTGCAGAAATAAACTCTGCCTTCGATGCACGGCTTCCAGCGGAGCTGCAAATTGGAAGGAAGGTTGAGAAAAATAAATGAGGTGAAAGAGGCACAGAAACAGAAACAAGTGAGGAGGGACAGGAGGCTGTCTGCACCTCCACATACAAATCAGCATCTAGCAAAGAGAGCGCAGCACAAATGTGCAGAGCCAGCTGCCCGCTCAAGTGCACTTGACATTTAAATTCATGCGCTGGCCCGCTTTGTGCACCCCGCATTTCAATGCACTGTGGAAACATCTGAGTGAATGAATGTGGATGTTTGTGTGAGAAGACGAGTCGACCATCACCCCCCAAAAAGCCTCCATCTCCTTACTCCACCTGCACACGCACAGCCTGCTCCCACACAGTGGAGCTACGTCAGCTCTGTGAGGAGGCGACACAGCAAGAGAGGAGCCAAGCTCACCTCCTTTATCAAGACCAGGGCTCCTTGATTTTTGGGAGGCTGACTCTTTCAGACAAAGGGCCATTTAACAGTTAAGCACATGAGAATGAAAAAGAAATAATAATGAAATAATGTTAAAGTTGATATAAACTCTTAGTTTATATTCTCTTGCATAATGCCAGTCTTACTTTTACTCTTTTTAACTAACTTCATCTTTTCTTTGGTTTAATCCCTCTTGTAAACTAGCAGAGGGATTAAACCATTTATCTATCATCTACCTACCGACCGACCCATCAACCTGAGCTGTGATCCAGCTGTGCAGCACTTTGGATGTTTGGATGAGAAGAAAAGATTTCTCACCAAACGATGCTCCTTTCCTCCTCGCTTCCTCATATCTTTACTGAGAGGAGCTGATCACGGAAACCTCTCCCACTCTTCTTGTGTCATGACTCCTGCTGCCACTAGAGGGCAGGATGACAGAGTTGCTGTTTAAACTAGGAGCCCAATCTTTGCATTTTACCCTCTTTTCTTTTGTTTGCCGTTTGCAGCAGGACTTTTCTGAGCCGGTGGCCCAGATCCATACATCAGCACTTATGTCCTACTTTATCTCCTTTCCTCAGTCCTCTGCAGGCAGCAGCGGACTCACAGTGGGATTTATCCGTCAGAGTAAAGCAGCTCGATGTGGCTGTTTTTGTGAATTAATATCAGAGTGAGAGAAGTTAAAGACCTGGCGCCTCAGAAACCTCCTGCAGGGGTGTTCTGGGCTCTCCTTCAGTTCTGTTGGAGGAACCATCTTCAGCAGCGTACGGCTCACCTGATTGGCTCGGCTCCGTCTGCTCGTGTCATTAATGCAGAGTTTGTGAGCAGTTTAGCCTCTCTGAGTGAATTCTCTGGGACTTTGTCTTCCTCTCATTAACGTCCCGCCCAGCACACCGTCACTCTCCACCCATCACCGTCCTCCATGTTGAAAATCTGATTCCACACCTGTACCTTTGCGTCCCTCACCAGCTCACAGGAAATGAACACATTTTCATGCACAAAGAGATAAAATGGCAACCTTCACTATCATAAAAATAAAAAGACCTTTCCATCATGTCTCTGCTTTTCTAGTAACGTCATCTTATTGCATTGTCTTTTGTAAGACTCCACCCACTCTTTATCTGACCAACCAACTCACCCTCACTGACCGCACCCAAACGCCTCCAAACTTCCATCTTAATAACTTTAACCATCACTACAAACTATTTTACTAAAATGGAAAAGAGGGGCAGATTATCCACGAATCAGAGGCTCCGATTACAAACAGATTGTGTAAAAAAAGACTTTAAAACAAAGCAGGAAAAAAAAGTTTGCAAAGCGCTTCAGTGTTTGCTCCACTTAAAGCTGCACAAGCCTCGTATTAATAACGTGTTATTTGATTTTCCCCTCAGACTCAGCCTCTTCGTGCCCTGTGGAGAAACACGAGGAGAACGTATGAGCGCTGACCTTTACGCTGACATTTCAAAGAACAACGAGAGATCTCTGGTTCAGATACAGCAATAATACACATGTTTGTTCCCAGAGCACTTAGGGTAACGCAGCTTGTTGCTGAGGCTAAATGATGCATAATTAAAATGATGAACGTAATCATGTTGCTTTCCTCTGGGGCCGCGCGGCAAATCGTTTCTTCTCCTAATTGGAACACAGACGATTGGTTTTGTTTCAAGGGTGTGTGATTTGCGTCAGAGCTGATTCGTTCTCTTTGCTGCTGAAGACTTTTTCCTTTAATTCATTTGTTTTTGTTTTTGAGCAAATAGGAATACAAATAGCTTTCAGATTAATATGCCAGTCAATCTGCAGGGCAGCCAACACTTAATGGGGAAAAACTCAATTTAAACTTTCTCAGACTGGTGGCAATAATAGAATAATGCCATCAGCTCATGTGCAGCAGAATCCCAGATAAATGGGGAGAGTTTGCCAGATTCAACAGGCAGATCATCCAGAATGAGATTTCCATACCAGATCAGTTGGGTTCACAACGATGGCCACGAGAGAAACGGTGCATGAGGAGCAGAGGAGTATGTGAGGGTGGTGCAGGTGTATGAGGGCAGAGAGACAGTCGTGAGGTGTGCAGCAGGAGTGGCAGGTGGGTTCAGGATGGGGGTAAAGCTAGCGAAGGTGGATGAGCTTAAATACCTGGAATCAACCGTCCAAAGCAACACAAGAGAGGTGAATAAGAGAGTGCAGGCAGGGCGGAGTGGGTGGAGACGAGGGAGGATTTGTAACAAGAGTGAAAGGGAAGGTTTACGAGATGGTAGCGAGACCTGGTGTGGTGGGTGGAAGCACACTGCAGGTGGATGTCAAACATCTGGATTTATGGTGACGGACCAAATCCAAAATCCCGGATTAGCCCGTCAGGTGAAGGACCTCGTTGTGATTAGCAGTCACGTTCCTGTGGAGGCTAATTTCACTGCACAAATAACCCGAGCACCATT